TTCTTATCTATTAAACCAGCTTTTCAGTTAAAGAAAATAATTAAATTTTTTGTCATGGTTTATTCTTGAGAAATCTATGTTGCCTGTTCTCTTTTAAGTATTCCTTTAGGTGCTCACAGAAATTGTTTGGTTAATATTGTTTCCTGATATCATATATACAACCTCAGGCTTTCTTTCAAGAGTACACATCAACACCTTCTCCCAGCCACCTGGGATTTCCAGGATCCTCCATTCACTGTCAGTCAGTAGCTAGTCAGTCGGAGTTTGTCCCTAATACTTTCTGAAGTCCTTGAATTTCCAAACCTGGTTTTCTTATTGCCATCATCATGCTGACACTGATTCTATGCCAACCTGAAGGCAGCATCCACATCCAACAAAAAAGAGCCGTAAATTATCATCAGAACTGCAATTTGGGAACCCTTTTTCTAGACTGAATTTCATGGGAGCTCTGTTGACTTGAATACAATTAAATTATCAAGTCCTTTATACTTTTCTGTTCTGTCTGTACTGGTTTAGTAGCAATAGCAATAATCTCAGTGTCCTAATTTAACCAGAAAGACTGGTTGCCCTGGAACTACCCAAGAGTAGGCTAGCAAGTCAGCAGAAAAAACAGCAAATTTTCTTCTACCATCATATCGTTCCACAAATCCTATATATTTAATTTGAACTCAGATTAGCTGCATCGGATTTTTTTTTTTCTGCAACTAACTTTATTCCTAAAGTGCCATTATGTCTGTCACCATAATACCAATGGCCACAGAGACGCTGATAGGTGATCAGTGAAATGTCTTTCTCAGCTCAGTTCTCATTTCATTCATTCAACAATACATTTAGTAGGAAACAGGGTATCAGCAGATAGTTAATCTGAGTTTTGAAAGACAACACATTCTCGCTCAAAGTCACCTTGACTTTATGAAGCACAGAATAGAAAAAGTAATGAAACACCAAGCAAGTGAATAAAGAAGCTGCCATGGGCAGTGCAAGCCAAGCAGCTTCCCTGTGTTGCCAAAATGCAACTTCCATTTCTCAAGAAGCAAATTTTCTTCTTCACTTCTTTGGGTATTCAGAAAGAGTTACGGTAGGAAGATGTCTGGGTGAAGTTTGAATTGCAAAAGGGAGTCAATGACAGAGAGGAAAAAATACCAATGTATTAGGCTTCTGATCAGAAAAAAAAAAAAAAGTCTTATTCCAGATTTGTCCCGGAACATTGATGAGAGACAGGCATTCTAGTAGAAAATTTAACATCAAAAAAAAATTAAATGCTGGAATATATAATGGAAAAATAAAGAAACCTGTTTAGCCAATACCATTTAAATAAAGAAATAATCACCATCTGTACATTGTACAGAGCTTTTAATCGCTTTTGTGGAAAGGTTTAAATACAGTCACCTCCATTCCTACTTAACCATGTGGAACAAAGTATTCAAACCACACAACAGTGTAATACTGGTAGTAAAGAAAAATGCCCTTTCTAGTGAAACTGTCAAAGTAATTTGAAAATGCAAAACACAACTAATAAAACTTATATTGTTCAGAGCATCATAAAGTGATGTTATTAAAGTCCATATGTTAAAAAAAAAAAATCTAGGTTTTTTTAGCCTCTGTTTTGATAGATATTCTTTCTTCATAACAGAGTCTGCTAAAAACATACCAGAGCATTGCTTTTGACCAGCCTGAGAAGTATGTCTTGCTAATTCAAGCTAATTCTGTATAAATCCCAGTTTCTATATCAGGAAACATCGCAGTATCTTTTTCAAGTCCTAGAAACTGTTAAGACAGCATTTCAAGTATATTTGGGATCTCATAGATCGTTTTAAAGGTGTCTGCCTGGCATAGCAGGAAGCATTTGTACAACTAACTGTATTGCCTAGCAGCAATCACTGAACTCCTGAAAAGAGAATAGCCTTACCAGCATGCAAGGAATTAGTCCTTTCGCTCAGAAAACTGTACTGCTTTCAATTTCTGTTTCTTAGACTTAATTTTTCTTTTGCTTATAATCTCTGTTCTTTTGCACTTTCTGGAGCACTGTGAAATTGTTAAAGTTATTGATAAAATTGTTCCCTGTTACACCTGCTTATTTGCATCTGCTCAAACATCTCTGCTGGGTGTAAAAAGGACAGCATGAACAGTATAGTATTGATAGTAGCAGTAATAGTATATTATCTAAGTATATAATTATAATATCGATAGAAGGTAATTAATAGTAGTGAAGATATTGGAGGTTTAATCTGATAAGATTAACAGTTTATAAAATCCAGAAAAGGTTTTAATTGATCCAGAAAATTACATATTTGCTTTGCCTATGTGTTGAGCGGTATTGGTCTAAACAGATCTCTCTAAATGATGGTCAGTTTCTAATGAAGTTTGGCATCTTAAACTACTAGAAATTCTTAAAGCATACATCAGAGGCTGGTTTATCAGGTCAGTTCCTATGCCTGTGTGAGTGCAAGCTTATGAGAAGACAGCACACTAAGAGCCAGCTGATATATCACAAATAGTACCTGAGCATGAGAGCAAGTTGTAATTAACAGAAATTTGGGACTGCCACAAGTACTGATACTGGGATTGATTTTTGCTGTATTGTCTCAACGAATTGGCAAAACAAACATGTTAAAGAACTTTTTAAAAAAAAAATTAAAAGCCATTAAGAAATCAGAAATGGAAGAGAAAAACAAGGACCATACCAGACAAGATATTTTAAAGTTGCAGATATTTTCAAGTTGCAGATATTTTCACATACCATTCACAGTTTGGGTAAGGTGCATCCTCGTAAGGTAGCATTGATATGCTCCTATCTGCACAACTGCAGAAAGCCCTGTAAAATGGATGTAAGTTGGGAAATTAGGCACAGAAAACAAAGTTGCTTTATCTGATAGGTGTAGAGACCAGTGACAATCCTAAAAAGAACTGATGATCACAGAATCTATTTAGCCATGGATTTAATTGTCATTCTTCCCCCTTTCTTCTCAAAGAAGCTTTTGGGGTTTTGCAATGCCATCTCCCAGTCTCCAGTGAAGAACAGAAGTTCTTGCGTGATTGATTTGTCCAGAAATCTCACAGAGTTTCCTCACAGTCTGACAGTCCCAAAAACCTTCTCTGGCTACTCTGACCCCACAGGAAGCCTGTTCACAAATCACTTTCCTAACATATTTTAATCCCTCACATTAACTGAAGTTCAGATGAGCTACCAGGCATTCAACGCTTAATCTCAGCTGGCAGAAGGAAATCTCATTGTTATTTTCTATCTAGCATGACTCAATTAAGTAACAAGGCAGAAAGAGAGAGGTGGAGAGACAGAGAGAAATCCTGTAAATGTCCCACTCAAGAGCCTCCTCCCTTTAAGCATTTTCCCTCCAGGGGTACTGTGATCATTACAAAACTATTAAACAATATGCTGGGTTTGAACTCTTTGCTCAGAGAGTAACTAATAGATGTACAGGAGCTGTATTAGAGCTTCCTACTTTCCTTCAAACTCAGATTTTTTTTTGTTATTATTGTGCCTGTAGTGACATAGTCAAACTCAGCCTGAAATATCTTTTCATCAGATTTCTTTGGAACTATTCTGTCAGAAGAAAGAAAATTGTATTTCTATTTCTGATTACATGAAAATTAACCTGTGTAGGGCACCTAATCAGTGGTGTCTTTACTTCAGGGCAAAGAAAGGCCCCCTGAATTAGCCTTTTTTCTTTTTGACAGGTTGTTTACCCTTCTGAAGATAAATGTGCAGTCATGTCTTTTTTTCAACACTTTCACTAGCATCAGTATGAGAAACTCTAATTGTAATGACAGTGGTTTGACCTAAAATAGATTGATTAGCTACCATGGAGACAAAGTTCATTTCTACCTCTTGATAGGTTAATTTCTCTTTATTAAAAATAATTGACTGATTTTAACTTCCTGCAAACTTTCCCTTAAGAAGGAAAAAGGAAAGACAAACACATTTGAAATGGCGAGTGGGTCACTTTTATATTTGAGGTAGGCTTTTCTTTTTCCAAAATGGTCTTATCATGTCCTAACGAATGTCCCTGTTCATGTTCATATATCAATTTACTTTAAAACACAAAATCTGAACTTGTCAATCTGATCCCCATCCAAAGCGGCAGTTTTGGGGAGACTGAAGACTTCATGTAATTCATGTAATTAATTGGATGATATCAGTGGTTTCAGCATAAAAAAACAAAAAAAAACCAAAAAAAACCCCAAAGGTCTAATAGAAAATATGAGTCTTCCTTTTGCACACACATCAGAGTAATCAATACTATGGATTACAATCTCTCCCAGTGTTATACGCAACACCTTTCAAGTATAAACATAACTACATGGAAACAAACTGTTTCACAGGTTTTAAATTGTTTAAATGTTTAGAGGTAGCAAGTGGTTTTTAGTGTTCCCAGTTTTCCCAGTTTCTTTTCTTCTTTTTTTTTTTTTTTTTGTTTTTAGTAGTAGTTCACCAGATTTTCATGTAACTACTACTTGCATCTGATGACTCCATGTATGAGTTTTGTTTATTTTACTACAAAGACAACAGTATATTTCACATGTGCATTTCTGAACAAGATTTCACAAGACCTCATTTTTATATCATTCATCAGTATAAAACTGGTTAATAACAAAGGTTTATGCATTAAAATACTTAGTGATTCATCAAGAAGTTATTGATGTTATGTTGCCACTGGAAATCATCTCAGTTCTGACCCTACAGCTATTCTTTACAAATATAGTATCGTTTAAGGAACAGTGAATTATGCCCACACTGTTTCCATCATACATTTTTGAGTTGTTTTAATTATTCCAATATGCCACAGGAAGTGTAACATGTAGCTGTGGTAACGTAGTCGGATGGACTATTTCCCACACATATAGTAGTACAGTATATTTCTTTAAAGTAAAGGCATTGTGCCTAATGTGCTGATATTGTTAGAAGAAAAAAGATATGTGTGTGTGCATTTCAGGCATGACTGCATAAATAAATAATGTGATATTTTGCCCTGCCATAACAGGTGACAATTTTAACTCAAGAAGTCTCACAATTAAGTAAGGATATGAAGAACGTGATGCACCTTCTGGAGAACCTGCTTACATCCCAGAAGCCTCCAGGGTTCTGTGCTGTGCATGGCATATCTCAAAGTCCTACCCTGGAAAGTCTGCAATCTCGAATGGCTTGGACTACGCATCAACCTTGCACGCACATGCAAGCTGGGAACTTTACTTGCACCAAAGCACAACTTTGCCGTGGCAACACGTTATGTGACATTTGGAATGCAGATCTGTCCTCTGTAGGCAGCAGTCCCCAAAGAACTGAATCCAACCTGCAAAATGCTATGGACGGTGAGTTTTATTATACACCAGGCCTTCACAATTCCCCCTCCCAGTATCAGGTAATGCAGAAAGACAGTTTGCAATTTTTAAGATGCACCTCTCCCCATTCAGACACTACCTTGACTCCTCTTCAGTCTATTTCAGCAACTCTTTCTTCTTCAGTATGCTCTTCATCAGAGACATCGTTACACCTCGTGCTCCCCAGCAGATCTGAGGAAGGTAGCTTTAGTCAAGGAGCAATCAGCTCACTAAGCCTCGAGAACCTGCCGGGATCGTGGGACCTGGAAGGAACAGCTGGAGTAGTTTCTGCACAGACCGCAGATTTCCCGGTAGACATTGTGACAAGCAAAAGGGATGTTAAAGATAAAGATTACCAAGCCATAGACGTATAACGAGAAAAAAGTGAAGTAGTACTCGAAGCATGGTCCACAGCTGCCAGTTTTAAATTTAGAGTGCTGCATGACTGCTTTATTTCACCTTTTCTCTGGCAATCATGAAGACTTACAAACACGAAAATCCAGATTTATAGAAAGTAAGAAAAGGTATTTCTGGTTCATACTATAGGAAAAAAAATTTCTAGATTCTAGAAGCATGTTGAAAAGCGTTTTCTATACAGATATAACTTACTGGTCTGTTTGGCAGACTTTTGTGATAGTCCAAAGACCCTGAGGGTCAGAGCAGCTGGAAGTCTAGGACAAAAGAACTGTCATGGGTCGCTTTTGTTCATCAAAGCGAAGGTTTTCCCTGAGCATCTGACTGTTGTTCCCAGACAATGTCTATGGCACTGTTTGCTTCAAGTGATCATGGGTCCTGCTGGTCTGTTTGTCAATTCTGTGGAGGCAAAGGGACAATTATCGCTGCATGTCATCTAGACAATCAACCAAATAGAGCTGGTAGAGAGTGGTTAGTTGTTGCACGTTATTTGTCATGTAAATGAAACCTCTTAACTTATCTAAAAATACTATTTTTATATACTTGGTATGAAACATGTACTTAAAAATAATTTAAAATATTTATAAGAAGAATAAGAGTTTGTTCTCATTTTGGTAAAAGCTTGCAGTTTTAAGAAGAAATGCACTACCATCATGTATTAGATCAAATACTATTTATTGTTAAGATATTATGTAGTTTACAAATTGATTTCCTTTTATGTGCATGCAATTTGCAAGAATGTATTCATGCTGGTGGAATACAAATAAATTAAGGTAATATTTTATTTAAAAAAAAAAACAGCTGGAATATTGTATCCTATACTAAAACAGCTATCACTATATAAAAAGTGAATTGTAATACTGATAACATCAAGTACCCTTGGTTTGTGTATTACTATTGCACTATTATTGATAAGAATAAGTCAACATTTTACTACACATCCCTGTTTTGGGATTTTATATATGGACAAGAAAATCAAAAGGGATGAAAACCATTGAGCAAACTGGGGAATAAAGAAGAAACTTACAATGCTTTAGTCAGAATCAAAGAAATAAGTTTAAAATAATTATTCATTTGATGAGTTTTTACTTACACATATAAAAACTAGCTCTGAACTTTAGCAAAAAAAAAGAAGAGACTATAGGTTTGGCAAATTATTTACTCCAGAATTTGATTTAATGCCCACAGGAAACTTGTTTTTTTCAGTATTTAATATATTAGAAACCTATATTGCTACAGTGCCACCAGAGCTACCGCTTTGCGTTGGAATTTTGATTTATATATTTAAAGATGCACAGTGTAATTCATATTTGCATGTTCTTTAGCAAGCTTTCTAAAAAAGCTTGTTTACAACCCAAAATAAATGTTTTAAAATGGAGAAGCAAATTAAATTACATTTAATAATTAATGCAAAAAGTGATGACTGTTATCAAATTAAAATTTTTACAGAGATTTATGTTCACTTCCTTAAGAGTTTTTTTTCTGAAAACTTCAAAGGCTGAGTTCATTGTTAACATTTGGCTGTGCGTGGGATCACAAATCCCAGCTGGTACTCTGTGCCCAAGTTACATCCTTTCACATCCTTTTTCCCACTGGTACAAATTAAGGACAAAGTGCTATCTTTCATTTTGAGCTGCCTGAATTTTGTCAGTGTGTCTACACTTCAACATGAGTGTTTATTTATAGCGTTTCTTACTTCCCCTCTATCACAGTTTTACTTAGTTTAAGGTTAAATCGAGAAGTACCGATAAACAAGGCATATATCAGAAATTAAAAAAAAAAAAACAAAACACCACAACATAATACTAGCAAATACAGTTCTATAGTATTTCTGCAAATAATCCTGGCTCGTTTTTAGCAATCTGCCATCATCCACCCTGCCACAGCGTAGAGGACGGGGCTGGGGGAGGCTGCCTGCTCCCCACACCCAGGGCAGGCACACGCTGGCAGAGCTCTACTTGCCAGAAGTCAGGAGCTGTGTGATGCAGGGCAGCGGGGACAACGTCCTGGCGGAGCAGCCAGAAGTTTGGTGGTGATACGGCACCACCCCGCCTCAGCAGCCAGGCAGCACACCATATAGCCGTGCTCCTCTCCTGTCCTCATCATACAGTGCAGATGCTGGTTCCCTGGGATGCATGGGCACATGTAGCACAGCTGTCCATAAATCCTGATTCTTCACTGTCACCTTCTACATGCCACACAAGGTAATCCGCCCTCAAACTGCTCCATTAGTGAAACACACAGGCTAATCCAAACTCATCATACACCATATCCCAGACATTGACTGGGGCTGCACAAATATTCTGTTTGTCTACCATGCTTTGATCCCAATGTAATTTAATAATTCGGAGCAGTGTTTCCTTTCTCATTTTATAAGCAATATGTAAATACAAGGGTGGTGAGGCACTGGCACAGGTTTCCCAGAGAAGCTGTGGCTGCCCCCTCCCTGGCAGTGTTCAAGGCCAGGTTGGACGGGGCTTTGAGGAGCCTGGTCTAGTGGAAGGTGTCCCTGTCCATGGCAGGGGGGGGTTGGAACTAAATGATCTTTAAGGTCCCTTCCAACCCAAACTGTTCTGTGATTCTAACCATTATGTATATGCTTTAAAGTTTTGGCACTGTTTTTCCTTTTCCAGCATAAACACTGGTATCTTGAGATTAAAACACTGTCGTAAATCACAGCTGTAGGATCTACTGCACTGAGGACACTCAGGCATCACAAGCATTACAAAGAAAATGCCCAGAAACGGGAAAAACTAGAGCTTGCACAGATGAATCCTAGGGTTTTACAAAACAATAGTGGAACCTTTAAATGAATCAAAAAGCAGCAGATTTCTCAGGGAAAAATGCAAAGATAAAGAAGGATTTTTTTTAAATTAAAAAATTTAACATTCCACACATCCTAAAGATTTAAGACAGTCACTGCAAATTTCCAAATGTGTATGCTATCTGCTCTTAAATTTCCCATTTCATATGTAGTGGGTAATGTTATACATATGTATTCACCCTGTCCTGGCCTACATGGTAACTATTCTGATTCTCTGGTTTTTGTATGTTCTACCTCTGATCTCTGTGCAATTAAATGGACTACTTCTTCCTTTGCTTGCCCTAATAAAATGAAAGATAACTGTGTAGTCACTTAAAATCCACACATTTGGAGAATTTTTTCTTTTTAAGGTGCCCTAAAGATTTTGCTTCCTTCAAGAAGAAGGAACAAAACCCAGTGTTAACCATGCTATGTACAATCAAATCCCACATACCTGTTTCTTTTTGACTCTGCAGTCAGACACATGACAAAAACAGAAGCATCATGAGACACGAGACAAACTGGAACCACAAGTCTCAATAGGCCGTAACCTTACAGACTAACTATACCTTCTTAAAGGCCAACCTTGTCAATCATTTACTTCCTGAGTTTCCTTCCATGATATTGTAACTTTACACATATATCTAGTGCTGCTGGATTTTTTTTTCCACCCCTACACAGCATTGATCCACAGAAATACAGCTCATATTCTTACTAGGAAAATTTCAACATTATTTCAGTAACCATGCAAATAGCTGTTAAACAGAATTTTGAAGCCTGTAGTATGTGCAAAATATACGGGTTTCTTGTATTAGACCTGCTCATAGGAAAGGAAATTAAAATTAGCCCCACATGAATGAAAATATGTGTCTTCTCACTCCCATCAGCCTGAAATTGTTTTCCAAAAGCAAAAGGCAAAGTCGTCTTCTGTGCCTTTACTTGCAATGAAAACTAATAGATGTGGGGAAAAAAATAAAACACAACACACAGGTTCTCCGAATGCTACACTGTCTCATAATAGTGTTTTAAAATGTTACTGGGCCATGCTCGTCAAGCAGCTATTGTAGGTTTAAAAGAAAAATGTGATCACCTGCTTGGTTTTCCCTATAGAAAATTACCAGTTTGTGCTACAGATTATGCCTCAGAACCTTTGATGAATGTATACACACAATGTACTGAGAGCTACTGGCACTTCTACCACAACAGAGATAAGGCAAATCTTCCTTATTCACCACCTCTCTAACAACACGTAAAGCTTTTTTTAAAAAAAAAATAAAATTGCTGATTAGGCTTTTGTAAAACATTCTACTTTCTTTTAATATCGTTAATAATCTCTTTTAGGACTAAATTATCTTAATAAACAGCAGCAATATGACAAGTATAAAGCATCTAAGACAAGAAGTTGCCTGTTTCTAATGCAGACCAGTATGTAAACATAAGTATTCTTTCAGCTGTTGGTAAGAGAGCCTTTCAGCAGCTAGCTCTTATGAAAACTTGTGTCTATATAGCTACTTACTAGCAAAACAATAGAACAGGACAATTGTAAAAACTCTCAGGGACATTTGGCAATATCCTCACTAGAGCCATGGCACACAGTCTTTTGAAGCACTGGTCACCCTTTGCTTCAATAAGAAAACCGTATTTGAAAATAAATGGCATCATACAGAGCTTAGTTTAGCAATTCTACACTGCAGTAGAAACTGGAGTGCCTAAAAGAGTCCAGGGGTCCACTATATTCATCCCAGTATACAGGTATAATATGAAGTTCAGAGAGCTTTCAACCTAACAAAACAAGGAGGAGCATAAAAAGGAGAAAAAGGAGCCTGACAAATTTACCCAAGGTCCCACAATGGCTTGTTGGGAGGCAGGAGCGGAGCACCCGGCTGCCTGGGCATGGACCCCTCTGCCCAGCCATGCAGCACCAGGCAGGAGTGTCCAGCCTGCATGACCCGCTACCGTGCAGCGGGGAGCAGCACGCAGCTGCACCAGCAGACAGAGCCCTAGGAAAGCAGAAAGCATTCCCAAGCATTGACAGCGAAGGATTCCCAGCACTGTGCTTCGCACAAAAATAGGTTACCTACAAATAAGACATATGGGAGGGTTGTCTGTGGTCTGAGCTATTTGGCTTAGCAGTTTCTGTGCTTGTTCAGTTTCTGG